TCTTCGTCTTCTCTCGAAAGGTGGGACAGCGACATGCTAATTTGTTTATATTTGCTTTGCTTGGTGCTTAGTGCTCGGCTCTCGGTGCTCATTGCTTAGCCTCTTCAGTCGGTGTTCGGTGTTAATTAACTATTTGTGTCCTTTGCCCCGGCTTGTCGATTAGTGCATAGTGTTAATTAATAATTACTTTGCTTGTCGTGTTTCACAGGAGTCCATCTAAATGGCAACACAAGACACTGTAAGTCCACAAAGTGTAGGACAACACCAAGGTATGACATGCTTCCAGTTCTCTAGTCTATACTACTGTTGGATGGCCGTAAGGCGTCGCCTCGCCTTACGCCTTACTCGCTTTAGCGTAAGGCGGTAGTTGGTTGCCTCGCCTCACTTTACCGCCTTAAAAACCTTGGTAGCGGGAGAAGTCGTCGACGAGCAGCAGGAAGTAGCGTCGTCCTCCTGGTGTGGCCGGTGTCACCGGGCCACACAAGTCCCCGTGCACAAGCTCGAGCCTCTGCTTGGCTCGAAAGCTCGCCCGCTGGGGAAAGGGGAGTCGCCTCTGCTTCGTCAACACGCAGACGTCGTAGAGCTGCTCCACATGGTCGAGGCACGGCAGGCCTCGCACCATCTCTCGCGGGCACCGAGCCGCTTGTGGCCTCGAAGTGAAGGTGCCCAAACGCTCGTGCATGCCGCACGCCTCGTCGTCTCCGACGAAAGCGGCGAGACAAAGGGGTTGTGCCACACGCACGTTAAGGGCGTGAGAGTCGACGCGCCACGGATACCTTGGCAAGAAGGCGACGACGGCGATCCCAAATCCTCATGACTCCATCCTCAACCACCACGCGAACCGTTCTCATCCACCGTCCCAAGGCGATGATGGAGTTCCTCAACGCGGGGATGTAGTAGACTACGGTGAGCGACTGTGCTCACCGGACACACGGCGGTGAAGATGGCGGAGCCGCGCCCTTGATCTCACGCACGAGGCATCCCCAAACTTGAAGAAGCCTCGGACACTAGAGTCAAGCTCGGTGAAGAACTCCGTCGACCGGGTCATGTGATGGGTGGCGCCGGTGTCGAGGCACCACCCGTCGCCTTTGTCGTTGCCGGGCCGCCGCCGAGGAGGGCGTGTGCTTTTGGCTCGTCAAGGTGGAGGAGAGAGCCGCGGCCGGTGCCGCTGGAGGTAGCTCGATGCTGGCATGTGCCATGAACAGAGCCGGCTCCTCCGCCTATGCGACGTGGGCCTGGCCGCGTCGTGGCTGTCGATAGTCCTTGGCCCAATGGTTGGCCGGCGCATTCTGGCGGTGTAAATCTCGTCTCCGTGGCGACGCTTGGCGCCCCATGGCATCACCTCGCAGACGTCCTCGCGCCCGACTGGCCGTCTCTGCGGCGGCTTGCCGCGCTGCGTCGCCGCTGTCGCGGAAGAAGGCACCCCCTTCCTCCGGTCACCTTGGCTGGCAAACCACTGCTCCTGAGTGAGAAGGAGCTTCCCGCAGTGGTGATGGGCCCCGAGAGAGACTGTGGCTCATCGCTGTCGACGACCTTGAGGCGACCTATCGCCTCCTCGATCGACATCGGAGAGATCCAGCGAGAGACTCGATCGAGCGAGCCATCCGCTTGTACTTCTCGGGACGCAGCGGAAGAGCTTTTCGACGACTCTCTCTCGCTCGCGCGCGTCATCATCCGAAGCGCACCATCTTCGCAGCAATGTTGAGACGGAGAGCAAAGTCATCAACGTCCTCACGGCTTGAAGGCGTGTTCTCCCACTCCTGCGAAGTGCTGCGGTGTGGACTTGTGGGCGCGGTCGCTGCCGATGCGTGCCGCAGCGATGGCGTCCCAAGCCTCCTTAGCGATACCGCTTGGCGGTAAGCAAGAAGCGCATCTCGGGACGGGGCTGCGGCGATGAGGGCATCCGGTACCGTCGATCTAGGTCTTAGTCGATGTCGCCGCGTCGGACCGCCTCCCACATGTGCCGCACCTAGAGCTTTACCCTCATCACCGCAGCCCACTCGACGTAGTTGGTCTTAGTGAGGGTAGGCCACCCACCGCCGGGGCCGACGTCCCTGACGACAGCCTGGAGCCCATGGTAACCACGGTACCGATCCGAGGAGAGAGAGCCACGTTGCCTGTGAAGGCCGCGCTCTCCATCGACCCGTCCACTACCGTCGCCGTGCGCGCCTCCTCCAGGAGAGCCGCCGGCGCGCGCTGCTGTCTGGCTGCCGCGCTGGGCGTCGTGGGCGTCTTGCACGCCCACTACGCCGCCGCGCTCATCTCGCCTCCCCTCCCACCGCCTTTCGAGGTCCGCGGCGCTTGCTGCCGTCAGCAAACGAGGCTGCGATCGTCGACGTGTGAGGCCTCGACCTCTCGCCGCGCACACCGCCGCCGCGCATCCGCGCCGCCACGCTCGCTTCCATTCTCCGCCGCCGGCTCCGCCGCTCCGGCCTAGACGCCCTTCGCTTGCCGCGCGCTGTCTCTGCCGCCGCTTCGCTCGCGTTCTCTGCGCGGCAAGTTCGGCCTCCGCCGACGCCAGCGTGCTTCGAGGCGCGATCGAAGGCCGAGATCATCTGCGGACATGACGCGCCAACGGGGGCAGTATGCGTGAGAGAGGGTCGCTTGAACAGATTTTGCTTTCGTCTCTGAATGAAGAGGAGGAGGAGGAGCTGCGGGAGTCTTCTTGCGCCCCACTGGGTTATTCATGCTGGCCTTTGGGAAAGGAGATGAGCGAAGATGCTCAAAGCTCTGAGGATAGTCTGGCTCGATACGATTGTTAGTCGCTGAATTCTTACTCTTGGTAATAGCAGAATTCTTACTCTCATCGAGAGAGGATGACACTAGGAGTTGGGACAATTTTCTGGTTTATTTCCAAATGACATGCCAACCTGAGGGGTTGGGGGTACATATTTATAGGCTGCTAGTCAGCCAAGCATATGCCAAGATGCTAGTCTAAGATGTTGTACTAGATGCTAAGATGCTGTCCTCTAAGATGATGTCCTCTAGTCTAAGATGTTGTGTAAAAACAGACCATGCAGCCACAAAGACCATGTGACACATGAGACTTATCCCATCAGAATGGACTTCAACATAACCATAGTTCAAAGGAACAATAGCCCCCAATAGGCAGATGGAGAGAATAAGAGTCTTAGATGCAATGCAAATAGTTAATCTCATCGACATATTAAAGAACAAGGAGCAAAACAATTTCCTTCTAAAAATTCATCCTCATAATGCCTAGAAAAGCAGTCATTTTAGTGAAAACCGGATTTTGTAAAAACTGGATTTAGCCTAACAACCACAAAAGCTTTATTTGGAAACTCTAACCAACTTGCATATACATAAAACTCTGGTTTCCACAAAAACAGGATTTTGAGTTTTAACAAAAACGAGAATTAATCATTTTTTTAAAATCTGGATATCCATGTTTTCAACTGACCAATATCTCTGTTTCGCAGCTTCTGTGCTAGTGCATGGAGATCATTAGTTTCATGGCGAACATGGTAAACCAATTAAAAATTTCTTATCCAAACATCCACTGAGAATAATCATCAGACGGGGGTGACAGTTACCCGGAAGCTTTAAGGTCAATTTGGTTTGCAGATAGTGCATAAATCAAAAGTCATTTGAACTGATTGTTATGACATTAATATTTCTCATTATTAAAGAAAGTTCAACAACAATAACAACAAAGCATTTAATCACAAGAAAGTTGTAAGATAGACATAAAACCAAATAAGAATAGTAAATATATAGAATAAAAGGTTAAAAAGGTATTAGCAACATTAAGCATTTGCAATGAGGAACTTAAAAGTACAAATCAGGTATTAACACTTGCAACATTACTAACATAAAATTGTCAGACATTCGAAACAATCAACGAAAAAATGGAAACACACATCCAAGTTTGAGGGTTGAAAATAAGTTGTGAACTCAATATCCAACCGCCCTGTACGCTTTCTCCTCGGCTGTATTGTTTAGATAAGGTTTTCCTTTCTCCAGTAAGAGCCAGCTTGAGGGGACGACCTCTACCTTGGATGGCTCGCTCAGCAGGTGTGCAAGTGCAGGTTGAATTCAAATAAATACGCAAAACATCTGCAATCACTCTTCTGTGGTGCCACAATGGGAATACATTGTGCCCATAGCCTACCAGGGGCTTGAATGGTTATGGTGATCTCTCCAGGAATGTGGTATCTATCTTAGTATAGTTGGTAAGTCTAGATGTGTGTGAGGTATGCATGTGTAGGGTTCGTGTGTGTTCATAGTTCATACATATCTTTTACCCATTGAGAAGCCTAAAATAAGAAAAGGAGAACTAGCTTATTGAAACTTCTACTCATCAGCCTCAAAAGCATTAACAAGTTCATCTTCGATCGTGAAGGGTCTAGTTTATTGAATAGCCAAGAAAAAAATTGCACATTTAACGAAGCTCCGTCTGATAAAATTATGGGGTCAGAGCAGTCCCATTGCCATGTGACAATTCAAGCAAATGATGGGGTCAGAGCAGTCCCATTGCCATGTGACAATTCAAGCAAATGATGGGGTCAGACCAGTCCCATCGCCATGTGACAATTCAAGCAAATTATGGGGTCAGAGCAGTCCCATTGCCATGTGACAATTCAAGCATAGGATATTTGATTACTGCAGGTTGAGACCAAATACAAAAATGTACAGGTTTGAATACACTAATAACATCTTCAAACAATAGTAAATTTGCTTTGTGGTTTCAGTCGATCCCCAGATCACCACATTTCTGAGGTGAGCATGTACAAATGATTGGCCTAAACATGCAATCAATGTGACAGTACTTATAGTCTGGCATTATCAGATTACTAGTCAATCTAGTGCACTAGTGTAATTTTTCAGAGTCAGCCACTAGTCGAAACCAGCCTAGCACCAAACCACCACGTAGCCCACCTAAGCAGTGATTAGACACCAGTCAGTGTATGTCTAGCACTTATGAGAACACTAATAAACCTACAAAATCAGGTGTCATCCCCGGTGCCACCAGCCTAGCATCAAACCACCATGTAGCCCACCTAAGCAGCACCAGTCGATGTATGTTTAACACTTATGAGAACAATAATTAAACCTACAAAGTAAGCATCGCCAATTTTCACAACCATACAGCATCAGAACGAGAAATGGGCGGAGGCGACGATGGAGCAACAATTACTGACCCGGTCGCCAATGTTGCAGGAGTCGTCCTCGTCGTGCGCCATGAACTTGGAGGTGCGCTTGACGTAGCGGTTGTACATCTTGTGGTGGAAGAGGCGGTCCACCGCAACCACCACCGACTTCTGCATCTTGTTCGACACCACGATCCCCACGACCGGCTTCATCTCCGCTCCCCCGGCGCAAGTGACTCTCTCCCCTCGACGACGGACCGAATACCCCGCGCGGGAAACCTGCTTGGAGGCGAGACTGAAGGCGGCGGCGGCGGCGGCGCTTCCCCGGCGGCGACGGGAGAATGGAAGGGGACTCAGCTCAGCGGCGCAAGGGTTTTTCAGGTGGGCCCTTAGTTTTTGCCCAGCAGTAGGCTGTAGCGGCGGGTATTTCCTCCTCCGAGCAGAGTGTTAAGCAGGCCGGCCCACTTCAAATCTCAAAGTAGAAGAAACCTGAAAATCGCGCAACCTCGCTCGGCCCACCTCAAGCTCAACTGCCGAAGGAAAGTAACGTTTGCATAGAGAGGCAAATAGATTTTTTTTTTGTAGACTATATTATCGAAATAGATGGGCATTTAATAAAACTACTATCGCAAAACAATGTGCATGGTCAACAAGGTAAGGTAGCCCGATCAAAACGACATAAGAAGATGAGGTCCACCATGTCCTATCTAAATTCATTAGCTGCTAATAAGTAGCTAGCCAATAGCTCATATATAATATCCATATAATATTACTCATGTAACTATTAGCTGCTATTAGTTATTTTAGCCCAACTAGTAAGATAGTTGTTAGAACTAACAGTTAGTTAGACTATTAATTGAACCTATTTATATTAAGGGGCTCTTGCGTTTTTATCCTTGTTTTGTATCGAAATTATGATTTTACCCCTATTTTTTTTGACTTTGTGAATTTACTCTTATGATTTCAAAACGAAGCACCAGTTTGCCCCTGCTCCGTCATCCACCTCTAACGGTGTTAAACTTTGTACAAAAGGACATGAATGCCCATACGATTTTGCCCCTGTTTGTTATGTCTAATTGTGATTTTACCCTGATTTGGAATTATACTTTTTTATTGTATGCTAACAATTGATTAAATTTGGTCAAACATATTTGGCACAATTTGCAATTATTTGAACTCAGATTTAATATTGATAAATATTCAAAATTTTAGGACCAAAAGGTTCATAATGATGACAGATGTAACGCCATAAGAAATATTTTGATATAATCTTTTGTGTGGAACCAAAAATCTTCAATGTATAAGAATGCATGTAGAACATCGGTTAACAAACTATATAAGTAGATGCATGCACTGATAACCTTAATACCTTACCACATAGGAATGTCATACCGTACATGTTTTTTCAGCAAAAGTAACCGCCATACAAGTTGGTTCATGTAACACTACAAGCACTAAAACTACACCATGTATTTACTAACCAAATTGGAAAAGAGAATGACATGAATAAAAAGACAGTTGTGAATTATCATGATCAACCATAGCAGCATTTACTATAGAAACAATAGGTCATAAGTTCTGAAATAATGAGTGGTAACAGACTAACAGTAAAGAAGGGTCCTGACCTCTAAACTGACCGATACATTTCTGAAAATTGGGTGATTGAGCATCGGAGAATATACAATGCTCTCGATTGACGGAGTCAATATTTCCATTGTAACTTAAGGGTGCTGACACACTAGAGTAGTTGCTACATTGGGAGATTGAAGTGCTCATGTCATTTGTAAGGGCAGAAATCAGCTTTTGCAGCAAAGGTACGGGCAATTTTCCTGAAGGTGAATCATGTGTACACTCAATCTTGTCCGACATGCCAAGCTCATTGATTTTTGCTTTCAGCAGCCTGCTAAATTCACCTTTCTTAGGAGTACACATAACAAATGGTGAAGCTTTAGGCCCATGAGGCGCGCGACGACGCCTGGGGCGGCCCCATCGGTGGTCGGGTGTGGCGCCGTCAGCGGGGCAGCAGGAGGCGGGCGCGGGAGCCTGCATGGAGAGGAGGAGCGGAGGAAGGAGGGGAGGAGGCGGCACGGGGAGAAGAGCCTGCGTTTGCGGGCGAGGCAGCGGTGCCAGTCGATGAGGTGGAAGAGCACGCCGCCCGTGCAGCCGCCGCCGGGGAACGGCGACGGCTTCTTCTCCACTAACAGCGGCGGCTTCTTCTCCACTATGGCGAGGCTGCTCATCCCTCCGACGCCTCCTCGCCTTCTGGCTGCTGCCAACTCGGGCTCTCGTCTTTGTGATAGGCCCAGGTCCGTGACATCAACAAAGATTTTTGGAATGAAGGTGGGGGGAGAAGAACCAGAGGCGGGTGCCCTGAGCCACACCGAGAAGAGACCCGTCGGGAGCCGCAGACGGGCGTCGCGGAGACCCGCTGCTAGGCGCCACCGGGAGCCACGGCCAGGCGGCGCCGGGAGCCGCGTCCAGGCACCGGAGCCGCCCGCTCCGCCCGCCCCTGTGCCCCGGCCCGCTCCGCGTCCACGTCGCCAGGCGCCGCTAGCAGCCGCGGCCAGGCACCGCCGCCGCCCGCCCCTGATGCCGCGACGCCTGCCCCTGCGTCCCGGGCCGCTCCGGGCCCACGTCGCCCTGATGCCGCACCTGCTCCGTCCGCCCTGATGCCGACGCTGTTTCGAGCCGCCGCACCCACGCCGCCCGCTCCCTCCCTCTCCGATGCGGTCGGTGTCTTGGTGGAGTCAAGAAACAGTCAGAAAGGGATAAGAGGCAGTGTGGGCATTTGGACTTTTCTTTTCAGGTTTGGAATTTTTTAATTCATCTATTTAATGGGCATCTGACAGACATCCAAAGCAGGGACAGACGGACAGTTTAGTTCAAAATAATAAGGTCAAAAACACAAAGTTAAAAAATTAGGAGGAAAATCACAATTGGAGTACTGGATAAGGGCAAGAACGCAATTTTCCCTTATATTAAAGAGCTAATTATTAGTAACTAATTATTAGCTTCATAGATCCGAACACGGTCTTAGTTGACTTGCCACCCTAAAGATGGGGATTTGTTGGTGTGTTACATATTTGTGGCTGACTAGAGTCTAAAGGTTAACTTATAATGCATGAAAATGTTGAAATTTTATTACCTTTTATATAAAGAAAAACTCAAATGAAGATTTTTTACATATATAAAAAAATATATAATTTGCATTGAGATATAGCGCTCCTGTTTTACCCGTACATTCACATCGCCCTTTCTATAAAGTTGGCCGCCTATCGTTAAGCTCAAACCAATTCCTTGTGTACCATTAAAAACAATAGTTTCTTACATAAAAATTTGAATTTCCCTCAATACCACTGTTCGAAAATTTTATGCCTTCCATGCCACTCTATCAGTCTCTCTGTCCATGGCCTAATGAAGTGCTTTGACCCGTGCTATAAAAGGACCATATTACCATCGCTCTCTTGCCTCTCAGCAATCACTCCTTTTTTTCTTCTCTTGCACGGAGCAAAGCATCCACACTTAGCTTTTGGCATCTCCAACAGTTTGGTAAGAGCATCTCCTACAGGTTAGCTAAAAATAAATGCTAAATCTCTTGATTTAACCAACATGTAAAATAGAAAAGCCTCTCAAAAACATGATGGCTACAGCAGCCTAGCTAAATGGTCCTTTTCTATATTTAAATGGGCCAAGACGGTTGGTCGGTACATGGCCACCAGGCCTGGTTCGCAACGCAGCAGATCACAAGACAACGCAAAGAATGACCGCCGCTTGGCTTTTTCGCAACGCACGGCCGCCTCCCGTTCTGTTCTCAACGCACGGCCCTCCCGTTCGCTTTTGCGCAACAACACACGGCAGCCTCCCGTTTGTTCTCAACGACGCCTACCCCTTGGCGGCGCACCAATTGGTACGGTTGTCCCTGCTGGCGCGCGCCGCTTTCAAGGCGACGGTGGAGCGAAGCAAAGAACCGCGATGAGCACTTCATGTATTCAGATTTTCTCAGGTGAATCCATCCCTTCGCCCTGGAGCCGTAGGTGTGTAATGGATTCGAAGCCGAGTTCAATCTCTTTGAATGAAGTGGTGGATTCATCATCTTCGGATGATGACAATGAATTATATATTGCCGCTGCAGACATAGTAGCAACGGATATTGGCAATGAACCACGTTATCGTGGTTCCGTTGAGGGACATCGTGTATTAAATCGTGATGATAGGCGGTCGGGGCACATGAGACTTTATCAAGACTATTTTTTGAGATGATCCTACATACGGGCCAAATTATTTCAGCGCAGTTTGTACGCACCCATATTTCTTTTCAATTATACCTTGTATATGCATTCGATTTTCGCCTAATTAAATTGTCTTCTTGCATAGATTTGAATGAGGCGTCATGTGTTTGTCCGTATAATGAATCTTTGTCGAGGAGCATGACGACTATTTTGTGCAAAAGAGAAATGCAATTTGGTACCCTAGGACTATCTTGTTTGCGAGAAGGTTGTGGCGGCATTTTGGATGATAGCTTATGGAGTAGCGGTGATGATGCTACGGATGACTATGTTCAGATTGGTGAGAGTCTTGCTCTAGAGAGTTTGAGAAGGTTTGTCGATTTGTTGTTCATATATTTGGTCATGAGTACATGAGAATGCCTAATGAACATGATACTGACTAGATTGCTTGCAATTGGTGAGAGAAGAGGTTTTCGTGTATGCTTGGTTCCATAGATTGCATGCATTGGACTGGAAAAATTGCCCTGTTGCATGGCAGGGTATGTACGTGGGGCACAAAAAGGATCCTACAATTATACTAGAAGTGGTTGCTTCTAAAGATCTTTGGATTTGGCATGGTTTTTTTGGGATGCCAGGCTCACATAATGATATCAATGTTCTCCAAAGATCTCCTGTTTTTGCAAGGCTTGCTGAAGGTGAGGGTCCACAGGTTAACTATAGCATCAATGGAAACAATTATACAATGGGTTATTATCTCGCAGATGGCATATATCCATCTTGGGCCACTTTCGTGAAGACCATACCAGAACCTCAAGGTAACAAGAAGAATATATTTTGCTAAGGCACAAGAAGCATGTAGAAAGGATGTTGAAAGAGCGTTTGGGGTTCTACAAGCTCGCTTTGCTATCGTTCGAAGACCAGCTCGTTTGTGGGATGAGGACACACTCGGAGAAATCATGAACGCTTGTATCATTATGCACAACATGA